TCTTAAGGCTATGTATCATGTTTGAATCTGACTTACTTTCGCTTTCTTTTAGATTCATCTGGATCCCATCACTCCGGTTGCTATGAATGATGACCATTTAGCCAATAATGAGACACCTGCCCCTCCCGTATCACCTCCTTTAATGGATATGGATGATGATAACGACGCAGTTATGCCTTTTGTCAATGGAGACGAAGGTATTTTCTCTTAGTCATACTTCATTTTATTGTTGTCATCCAAAGAAATTACCGTTGTATATTTTTAGTTAAATTAAGATGTTTTTTTTTAATTTTTTGTATCTTTCATAATGTAGCACGGGCGTTTATCTAAAAGCGTTAATTTACCATTAAGTTATTTTAGTTATCATTGCACGAGTTTTATTGCTTTTATTTGGCATTTTTCACATTTCACATTATTATTGCTACGAATTGGACTAATGCAATATATCTTATTTAGATATCAGTCGTTTTCGTATTTTCTTCAAGGCAGAGTCTTGTTTCACCAGAGTAATCCAAACTTTTAAGTATTTATTCTAGTCTTTGTTTTTTATCATTGATTATCTCCTGTTGGCTATTGTAGCACTGAAGGTATTGTGGTTATTTGTTTGCAAGTTTAGATTTTTTATCAGTATCCTATCTCAATTCAGTGAATATGATTAGGTGGAAATAGGCTTATCTTAGGTCTACACTTTTCATTAATTTATATCCATGTCTCGTAAATCAGAATTTCGTATATGGTTTATTTGTTGATGTACATTTATTGTCCATTAAATTAATATTTATGCTTTTAAAATGTAGATGATAATGACGTTACCATTGTGAACGAAGGCCGCGATAAATTTGCCGGTGATGGCGTTCAAGTGGTTAACGCTGAACCGGAACAGTAAGTTCTGGTTGTAATAGTTCTATTTTGCATTTACTCGGATCATGGCCCTATCTAACACACGGTCTTTTAAGGCTCCTAGAACCAACTCCGGAGGGTGAACTATTTGTATCCAGTCTCAAATCGATGTTGACCGCCCACTTAGAGAACTTTGGACATGTCAACGATGGAGTACTCGGTCTCTGGGCTGGTCCCGAGCATTGGCGTAAAAAGGCAAAACGGCGAAGGCTAGATGAATTTGGAAGTATGAATTATTTTTTCCTCAATTTTCGTCATTTTTGTTTTATTTTGATTGCAAGTGCTTTCGTTCTAGATGCTGCACCACTCGACAATGAGGAGAACGCGGTTACAACCGTTGGCAAAAGTAGTCGAACAAAGTCCGCAAAGAAATCCAAGCCAACTACCGTGGAATATATTGGAGCTCTTCTTGATGCTGGTGAGAATAGATCAAGGTTAGTTTGGCTTTAATTAAAAACTCCATTAACATAAGTCACTAAAAAATAAATTACAAATAAAATATATGCAAGTAGCTGAAGTTACGTGAGTTGCAAGGGTTTTTAAGCTATTTGTGTTTAGAAAGCGGTTCGCTTTTTTTGCAAATCATGTTCTTCCATCGGGTTTTAAGAGTAAACTTGGTTGTTGTTTAAATGATTTTGAACAAATACTTTACCAATAAACAACTATTTTCTGTGTTTCACGAGTTCTTTTGTTTGTATATATTGGTCTTGATTTACATCAATCTTCTTAGCTTTTAAAACTATTCCAGAGGCTATATATCTTGAAGTGTTTCCTTTGAGAAATTCGCTTTCTATCACTCCTGTTGACCAGGTTCAGCCAAATTTATTAACCATTGTTGTCCCTATATTTGCACTTGTCGGTATTATGGCTTTCTGAAAGGTGATGACAAACAGCTTTGTCTTAAAATTCGGCACTTAACAAATGGGCATTTGCAGCCGATAACTTCCACCACATTATCACATTGCAGTTGTCTCTAATTAAATCACTATCTCTATTAATTTCAGGAGTGGCTTTTTGGTACGTAATGACTGGTCGAAGGAGTTGGAACAATACACCAAAGACAGTGGAAAATCGACAATTTTGCGAGAGCAGAATTTACGACTTGCCAGTGAGCGCTTCAATATCCTGCCTCCCTCAATTACTGATGCTCGACAGAATATATATGAACTATTTAATCGTGAGGTTATGCGCAATATTGTTGACCCAAAGATTACTGAGACACAGGAAAATGTTACAGCTCAGGCCATGGCTGATGGCGGTATAGTGGTAAGTTAGTCTTTTCGTTTCTCATTGTTTTGTGCAAGTTGCACTGGATTCGCTTAAATCGTGCTCTACTGTAGTAAATCTTCGAAGGCTAAAGTATTTAAGGCAACAGGTGTCCTATAGCTCAGTCATCCGTTCGTTTCCAAGGCCATGCATTTAATTATATAACTTTGAATATGTGGGACTTATTGGCCTCCTAACTGGTTATCGAACCGGTAGTGATGAGGTCTTATTCCAAATGCTATGGAAATAACCCCGTTCCCGAGGTTTGAAGTCTGTTTTCACCATCTTGTGAATTCTATTAAAAGTCATCTGAACATGTGATGTTCACAATGACTTGAAGTAGACCGAAAATGTGAGGTCTATCCTGCTCTTCATTGGTAACTTGGTCTGAATTAGTAATCGTTCCATATAAGGCTTGATCTCAAGTTTGGGTTTCAATCATTCCCAATCTTTCCATGTACGAAAGTAATTTGAAAAGTGTCTAGCGTTGGCAATTTATTTCCTTCTTTGGTGTTGATTATATCTTATCCCGTTCTTGTTTTGAGTTTCGCTTGTCACTGATTGCTTCTTATTGTTTTCAAATTATCCCTCTGTTTATATTTGTGATCTGCTTTTATAACTATATAAAAGTCGGGTGCTTTCAATGTTACCGTTGGCAGAATTTCGGTGATTAAATAACTAAGTTATGGTATATTTGGTCTACTTATAGTTTCTTACAAATATTTGTAAGTCTAGCAGTTGGAATAAGACTTTGTTCATGTAATAAATCAACCTTATTTTATGAATGCACCAGAGCCTTGATGCTTTTTTTTCGGTTTACTTTGGCAGGTAGTCAAGTTCGTCGAATTTTCAGCACAAATTTGAAATATGAAATATACTCGTTAAGACGCTCCAACTTTAATAAATTTGTACTTTGTCGGTAATGCATACCAGAGTAGATAGGTGTAGTTCTGCAAGCTCAAGTTCGTCTCTCACTTTTACCTTTATAAGATACCTATTGTGCTTAACCTTTAGAATAAACTTTAATAGTATTGAAATCTCGTAGTAAAATGTTTTACTTTCCGACAATGTGTGGTCAATCACTTGAACTCAACTCTTCCCTTCTCTCAATGTAGCCTCCATGGTTGGATAGTCAGGCAGCAGCGGCTGCTGCTGCTGCTGAAGATGGTGCCCATGACGATGTCGATACAGACGATGTCGATCACATGCCCGTTGACGAGGATGACGACGATATCGCTCCCTACGATGGCATTTTCACTCAGGTGAGTTCATTTCTTCAGGTACCCTATGTCCTTTGCCACAGCAAGCTAATACATACTTGCATTTATTTAAAAGCATGCAGGCCATACTGTGTATGTGGATCTTTAAGTCAATAGGTTAAATTTTGGTATCTTTTCTCAGTTAATTAGAGATTTCTGCGATAATTATTCAATATCTGGTTTTTAGTTTGCCTTAATTTACCGAGAAGTAAGAACTAGTGTTTCCTTAATAATGCCTCGTTTGAGTTACGACAATATAATTTTTAAAGTACTGGTGTTTTTGTGACTGAGATAAAACTGTAATGACAAAAAAATTGTTTCTGAAAGATAAAAGGCTATCTTTTGGGAATCTTCTATGGTCTTTGCTAAGACACTTGTGTTTCATTGGCTTCGTGATTTTAGAGTCTTTGGGTTTTAGCTAGTACCTTTGGTTTGTATTCTCGTTTCCCACTACAAACTTCATTGAATAATCTTAGAGTAGATTTCTCCTTGATCAGAATCAAGTCGAAAGACTCGCTCTTAAGCCCTATCAAACTGTTAAATGCTGTTATTTTTAACAATCGGGAGGCTTCTCGAATCATTAAGTAACTGAATATTGACGTTTCCATTCCTTATGTCACATTTCGCTCTGTAGCAAGGCGCTATTGATAATATTGGAACGGTTCCAATGGAAGACGGTATGCAGCTAGTAGCTCCTCCACGCCAGGTTGCCCGTCTAGAGATTGGCTACGCACGGGCTGCCAAACTCATCAATGTTCGACACTTAAAGAGTGTTCTCTGGGAAATGATTGACAGAGATCTTACCGCGAGTTCTGATCGTAGTCCTCCAACAAAGAAACCGCGACCAGATATTGATGTGGACGAAGGTTGTGGCGCCGCCGAAACTTCTCAAGTTAAGTCGGCACAGGAGGAGTATCGTCCTACTTGCTGTTTCAGTGATATCCTCGCCTCATTGCCTTCTAGAGTTTCTAAAAATACAGCTTCTGAACTCAGTGTTTCTATCGGTCTTAACTGTCTACTCCATCTAGCTAACGAAAAGGTGCGTCTTTCTTAATTGAAATCAGCATCCTGCTTGTGACTGATTTTATCTTACCATTCTTCTTTTAAAATAGGATCTTTTTTTGGAGACTGGAGAAGGTTGTATAGATCTTTTAATTTCGCAAGGTCTCTCCATCTCAGAGCTAGAAATGATTTCTCAATATCAACGTTCAAGCAGAGTTGGAGAACAGCGCGCCAAAAAGCAGGTTTCTATAGATCGATGGCTTGAAAATAGTATGGAGGATGACGAATAGAGGCGTTCTCTAAAGTCCGTCCAGCTTAGTTGTGTTAAATCTCCCCCTATTTCCTTCTTGGTAGGCTTTTCGGCCAGTATGAGGCATTTAATCTTTTGCTCCTTTTGTCTGTGCTCTGCATGTGCAGATCCTATGTACAGTCTTTTTCTGTTTGCCCCTTGGCGTAGCCTGTACAAATGATTTTTTTATTTCTGTGTAAAGACGGTTTTATGTGTGTCTTTTATCTCTCCTGTATTTGTATCATATGTTCATATCTATCTCCGAATATTTACCGTCGTCCAACAGTCCTAATACTACACTTATGCATTCGGGTCTATGATTATGCAATGTTTCTTAATCGCTTCTATAGGGGTTTCTGCATAAACAGTTTATTTGACGCCCATTGGTTTATCATTCACATCATTTAACCAATCAGGGATCACCATAGTAGTGCTACGTGGGGCCAAGTGTGTTAGATGGTTGCTTATCTTGTTCGTTCTTCGTCAAATAATAAAACCGGGTGGGTCGCATATGCTCGTTAAATTCGTAGACCAAAGGGATACCTAAAAAGCAATCAAAAATCGGTTTTAGCTTAGAATTTTTTAGTTATCAGATTTGTCCAGTTTCAATGTGATGATTGAAGTATATTGTATGAAGTTTCCAAAGACCACAAATAGAAGTGTTACAACCCATTGATTTAAGTAGAGGGTAGCTTGTCGTGGTTAGTTTCCCTCTTGGTTGTAGTTGGTTGGTTACCTATGTCACTCGTGAACTTTGACTTTAAAGATAAGCGTGGCGTGTGTTGGGTCGGTGTATATTTTTCTTAGAGATTTTGTGCAAACAATGTAATAGTAAGTTAACTGTCTAAAAGACTTCTCGCTTATATGAAACTGGTTAAATGAATGAAAAGTGAAATGCCGGGTTGGTTATTCCCTAACAGCCATGCTTACCATCTTGGTGGGTGTTTATGTTGACTACTAGTTTTGATGAATTCAAGTCGATGTAACCTAAAAAGTATTGCTATGATTTTGTCGATGATCTGGGGTTACTAGTACATAAGTACAAAAATGAGGTTGGTAAACAACTTAGAAATGACCACATTTATTTGCCCGAACTTACTCGGAGTTAAGTCAATATTGCCAAAATTGTCTGAAGTTCCGTCAAGGTATTTCATTAGGGCTCGAAGTACGCTCTCATGAGCGACAATCAGCACACGATTACCCTCCTAGAAGGGAAACAATGTCAAGTCTAGTGCACACTTATTAGTACCTAGTGATTCAGGAAAACCGACCTTTATTGCCGGAACGATTTCATCACACCAAAAAGGCAGCACTCGCTTGCGGACATCACGAAGACTTTCGGTATCAGGGATAATTGATTTTGCAAAGAGCTTTAAAGGTTAAAGCTTGTTTTAATATTTTGTTCAAATGTTTTCTGACAGAATAGATATCAACTAATCGTAATTAGTTCTTATAGTAAAATTTTGCACTATGATACTTTCATTCTCATTTGTAACTGCACATTCATTAAAATGCTAAGAAAGATATCGACAATTTTCTATTTGTTCAGCTCAATTTAAAAATCTGCCCAATTTATGACAATTCCTTATTATAGTTTAACGACTTTTAATCGATATTAGATACTATTTGTAGTTTGTGTATGGTATTTACTAAAAAAATCATACCTCATATTTGTTTTCGAAAATAGGATGATCTCGGCTATTTTGAGTGAGCGGAGGTGGAGCAGTGTCAAACTTCCTTGTCCATGCCATGATCCGTTCAGTCCCATGGTGATAAAATAGCTTGGATTTGTCCCAACCTTCTAGCATGCCATACATTTGTGCGTTCAATCGCCACGATCTATAAAAGTTAACAATTAATAAACGTATTTAATAGAAAAAATTCAAGCATTCACGACACATGATCAATTTTCTTGAATTTTCAATTTTTAAATGAAAAACTAAAGCAGCCATAGATAATTCAACTCTTACGCCAAAAATAAAATTAATTACTTATGGACAGGTATCCAGTGTAAGTTCATTTGTTCTAATATTGCATGACATGTTTTTATAGCTCGCTTAAGATAACTAGTAAATGCAATATCAAATTGAATTTTCTTTTCAAATAGGTATTTGCCCAGTTCTTCAGCTTGGCATTCGTCCTTATAGGAAGTGTCTGAATCAAACCATCCGCTTAAGTACCCGTTTCCACTAAACTCGCTTTCGCAAGCACAAATTAAGACAAGTTCATGTAATGAATTTTTAGATAAAACAGTCATAGCAATGTCTCAAGGTGTGCTCATAAATGAACAGGATCTTAAAACAGGGTCACAATAGGTTATCGAGATATTTTCAAAGCGTATAAGGTGAATCTATTAAATATGTTAGGTAAGCATAATTCTTTCTTTAACTATTTACATATTTCATTCATTAATTAAGGACGACATCTGAAAAAATAAAATAAAAACTAAAGTCCAACTTGATTTATTTAGTGGTCAAAAAAGTATTCGAAATGCACCTTTATTTGCTAATAAATAATATTAATTTTATTCAGTTTAATAATATGATGATATGTTGATGGACATTTATCCCATGGCAGTTAGTTTAGTGTTATTTCAGTTATTATAGCATGCCAATAAACAACGAATGTTAAAAATACAATTTTTTAGAACCTTTTTTGCCACATTTATCACATAAACTGGAAATGCGCGTATGACTTAGTTCTTATACAGTTACTTACATAACCTTGATCCTGTGGGACACGTTATCGCTTTGTGCGCCATCGTATGCCTGCATCCCAGGATTGGGAGGTGCGGCCGTGCAACTCTGTGTGCAGGGACAGTACAGTGACCAATCACTAACCTCTGTTTGTTTAACCTAATCACCCATCCTGATCATGATTGAGCCCCCCTACGTGCGCACTTTATCCGCAATATACGTACTGAACCCTGCGTGTGCACTTTATCCACAATATACTCTGTGTGTACACACTTGATCCGCAATATACGTCCTGAATAAGCGGGTACACTTGATCCGCAATATACGTCCTGAATAAACGTGACTTGATCCGCAAGATACGTCCTGAATAAACGTGCTCCGTGCACACTTTTCTGATCATTACGTGACTGAATATACGTGTTCCGAATTATCGTCTGTTTCCTTTATAGCTGGGCTATAGCTTAGCTAGTTTCGGTCTGTTTCCTTTATAGCTGGGCTATAGCTTAGCTGGTTCGTAATATGCTCACTGAATAGACGTGCTCCGTGCTACACGTCTGATACCCGTACTGAAAAAACGTGCTCCGTGCTACACGTCTGAATCCGTACTGAATAAGCGTGCTCCGTGCTACACGTCTGTTTTCCCGTATCGAACAAACGTGCTCCGTGCTACACATCTGTTTCCTTTATAGCTGGGCTATGGCTTAGCTGGTTCTGGGAGTCTAGCTTAATGTAAGAGAATCTGCCAAAGAGATTTTTGAGTTAGTCATGCTTTACTAGCATAGCAATCCACTACATATTGGTGACCCTGACGTGATTGCCAAAGATTGGCTTCCAACATTCACCAGAGAAACAATCTCTCACCGGCATCGGGATTTCCTCTCCGCATTACTCAATTCCCTCGGTGATCCCTTTCTGCTCGAATGATCATCACCTTACGTCCGCTGCCGTTACCCACAAGTCCGATCCTGACTTCCGCTCAAGAGAGACTCGATCTCTCATCGATGACGCGATTGTTCTTCACATCGCTCTCCTCATCTGATGGTTCCTTCGCACGAAAGATCAGCACCTCAACGGCACCCCAACTCTCCTTTCACTGGCTATGACTCCCACTGAACGCCCTTGGAAACAGTCAACAGCCGGAGCACGTTGCGTTTCGAATGTCCATCTCTACGAGACTCAAGAACCTCGTCCTTGTATCCAATGTAAATAACAGTCGGAGTACGTTACTCTTCGAAAGCCTACCCTTACAGGTCCTTAAAACTCCAACTCACAACTGCGTCTCAACCGGCAAGCCAAGACCAATCGTCAGGCAAGCACACGCCGGAAGATTTCGACCATGGATTGTCGCAACCAAACATCCGTTCAACAAGAACGTTGAACACCGATCATTGCATTTGGAGTAACATCCAACAGGGCGCTCGTCATTGGACCGAATACTGCCTCACTCGCTCAGCCCGCAAGGTCCACAAGCATGCACGAAGTCCACAATCCTACTGCCTCTCGCTCCAACAATCCCACCTTAACCCAAACCCTGTTACTCAAAGGCCGAAGATCTACCTTCCCCTCCCAACTAGTTGATTTTATACATTGACTAATTATCGAGCGTTTTTTTACCTTTGAGCTCCCTACAAACGCTCTAGGGGGGGGGGGGTATTGTGGGACACGTTATCTTGAAGGGTGCTGTCACGAAGGTTGACTAGCAGCTAAAACTTGGAGAGGAAATCGACGCCGAGGATTGGTTTCTTAACATCGGCAACCAGAAAAATAAAGGGGAATTCTCGGCGTAGGCCTAAGTCGAGTTTGAGGAACTTCTGGCCGTGGATCGGAATTGCAGAGTTGTTAGCTGCTACGAGGGAATTTCCGGTAGGATAGAGACAGCGTTTTTCTAATTTGCGAGGTAGAACGCCGACCTCGGAGCCGGTGTCGACCAGGAACCTGATATTCGAATTCCTGTCAGTGGTGTAAAGCATACGACTACGAGAGTAGCCAGGGTCAGTCGTCGCCTTCACTGCCTGGCGTAGGATTTTCTCGAAGGGCTACGTAATTTCGTTCGGAAATATTTGCACCCGGCCCGGCATTTCCTAGCCCTGTCTCCGAAAGTGCGGTGATAGTTGCAAAGTTGTTCTGCAGGGCTACGAGCTCTTTTGGGGGACCGTGAGCGTCGGCGATCACGATGGGGCGAACGGTCCGCCATGAGTGACGTTAGATTCTTCAACTGTTCTATGATGGCATCCAGTTTGCTGTCCAAAGTGGCGGACGTTGAAGAATTGATGGCGTTAACCATGGACTTGTTGTAACAGCTGTGGACTCGATCGGCCACTTCAGCTAATTTACTGAGGTCGTCCTGGTTTGGTAGAGAAGCTACTGCTAAGGCAATGTGTGACGGAAGGTTGTTCCTCCAAATTTTTTTAAGAAACTCATCGTTCAAACCAGAACCGCTGGCCAGAGAGCGCATATGCTGTAGAAGTTGAGACAGCGTACGATCTCCAGGTTCGATCTGGGACCAAAGTTGGTGAAAACGTGTTTCTTGCGATACGGCATAACGACTGATGACTGCCTGCTTGAGGCGCTCGTAAGAGTTGTCCGGTTGCTGAGTGGCAATATCGCTGAATTGCTTTATGATCGGGGCCGGTAGTGCTACTACAGCGTAGGAAAACCAGGTTGTTCGCCTAGAAAGGGGCGCAAACGCTTTACGGACTGGGGCAAGGGATAATCCATGATCGACTGCGTCTTCTCTCTATATTAAGAAACTTCGACCGTAGACGGTAATCTTAGAGTTGTTGGCTGCAAAAAGTGGATTTCCGGTTGGTTTAGACAACGTTTTTCTAGTATATGAGGAATAACGCTGACTTCGGAACCCGTGTCGACCAGGAATCTGATCTTTGAATTTCCGTCAGTAACATGGAGGAGGCGACTTTGGAAATGGCCAGGCTCAGTAGCCGCCTTTACTGTCTGGCGTTGGAGTTTTTTGGTGAGCTCCTCTTTTGATATTTACAACCGGTTACGCACTTCTGGGCCTCGTCTCCGAATGTCCTGTGATAAAAGCAGATGGAATTATGATGCTTGTAGGGACTTCGGTATCGTCTTCGGGGCTCAGAACGTTGTCGCTCTTCAGGGTGATTGCGCTGAGAAACGAGGCCTGCCACGATTAGCGACAGATTTTTTAGCTCTTCGTTGATTGCGTCAAGTTGCTTGTTGTCGGTACTAGTGGAATTTGAAGTCTTGACCGCATTAATACCCGGTTTGTAATAACAACGATGGACTATACCGGCCACTTCCGCCAGTTCGTCCAAGTTATCTTGGTTAGGGTGTGTGGCAACCGCAGCGGAGATATGAGCAGGTAGGTTGTTCCTCCATAGATCCTTTATGAAATTGTCACCCAAATCATAAATACCAGTCAGGGAGCGGATATGAAGCAGGTGTTCAGAAGGAGAACGATCCCCGAGTTCTACTTGGGACATTATTTGATGCAATTGGTCCTCTCGCGGAGCAGAAAAACGATTGATGACGGCTTGCTTGATTTGATCGTATGAATCGTCATCTAGCGGCTTGGAGATAATATGCCTGAACTGTTTGGCTATCGTAGTCGGGAGCGATCCTGTAACATATTGGAACCATGTTGTTCGCTT